TGTGTGTGTGTGTGTGTGTGTGTGTGTGTGTGTGTGTGTGTGTGTGTCTGCAGGTCTGGTTCAAAGATTTTCTTACTCTGCAGTCACAAGAACGAGAGCTACGATTGCAAAGCCTGCTAACGCTTCATGTGTCTGGTGTTTCTTACATTTAAGTGCATATTGACCCTGCTTAAGTTGCACTAAAGAAACAGCAACCATTGACAAGTAGGATACGATTGAGGTTTGGAAGATTGGCCGACAAATTTGTTATGTCTCGTCACTAAGCTGTTCTAACAACCATGTGTTATAAACAGAAATGTTGCCCAGTCATCACCATGCCGCCTGTCTGCAACCCCCTTTCCCACAGCCACTATACATTTCTACTGTAGCAGTCTGCCCGCTCAAATGCAACTTTGTAAACATTGTATCATGCTTGAGCTGAAATAAAGCAGTAATATTTCCAGAATACAAGAGCGTGTAACAGTTTTTGTTGGACGTAGCCATCAGAGTGACCCCCATCCCCGGAAGCAAACAGTTGAAAGCGTTCTTGTGATGTTTTTAGTGATAATCCACCCAAAAGCTCCTTCTTTAGTCCATGCCGAGATGATTGAACTGGTGATGGAGCAAGTGAAAGGAGCTTGTGTTGTTCTAACCCGATTTCCCATCCTTAACATGGTCACACACACACACACATATACATCAATACACACATACTACAGTGGGGGCGAATCTGGGCTATGTGCTCTTGAAGCAGTTTTTTTTTTTTTTTTGTTTTTTGCATTCGTGGGCTGAGAGTGCCTCCATCTTTCATTTCCCCACTCTTGTTTTTTTCTGAATTTCAATCGGTGACGGATGATTGGGTAGCGAGGGTAAATAACTCCCCTTTCCCATCTATCTGTTTTCACTTTCACTCTTAATTCCTCGTTGTCTACAATCTTCACCTCCTTCCTCATTCACCGTTAGCAGTCTGGGCTCTCTCTCGCTCTCGCGAGACCTCTCTCTCGCTCTCGATCTCTATGATTATTGTGTCTATGGTCGACCTGAGGTCACATAATGAGCAGTTGTCCCAGCCCAGCTGACCACGCCATGTGTGGAGGAAGATATTGCTGACCGTTGCGCAGTTAGCCGCCCTAACGCACACAGAGAGTACAGCTGCTGCTCCCCCCCCCCTCCCCTGAAGCCCCGTCTGGAGCTTTCATTCCTGGCTGCCGTCTCTTTTTGACAAGTGCGAACGGTGTGGCTGTCAGGGGAACAGCGGATAGCCTCACCTACCGAAGTTATGCCGACTCTTGCCTGAAAATGCTGTGGTGCTGGCTCGCTTGTTCTACGAAAACCAGAAAACTAAAGATAGCTTGTTAAGAGTTGGATTGAGGCTACAATGCAGTGAAAATTGTCCTTAAAATACATTGTTGCCCTCTCATAACCCTGCTATTCGGCTCTCAATGAACTTCTAAACCCCGCCTACTGCCATTCAGCCACAAAGGAGAAGAGAGCGAGTGGGCTGAAGCGCGGGGTTACACAGGGACACGAGGAACTCATGCTCACACCACAGAAGACTGTAGTGATTGTGTCAGAATGTCGAGAACAGAGAGAAGAAGCGTGGTTATAGACCGCAAAGTGAGAGAGTGGAGTTAATAGAAAGCAGTTTTTGCAGAGGAGGAAGGTACTTAGAGACGTGGATAGTGCACAAGACAGAAAAACAAAATATATGTGGAACTATTCTCCCCTGAATTTATGTAAACCCTACAATATGTTTTAGCCTTCAAAGGATTCTACTTTTTCAAATGATATAAAACTGTAGATCACTCTCACTTATCCGTCATTTCTTTAAAAGCTTCTTTTTTTTTTTTCACAGATGGTGGATGGCATTCTGTTTTTACAGCTTTGATGGTCCTGCGATTCATAATATAAAAGAGTTTGACAATAAATACGTCTTTGGGGAAACAACTCTTTATTTAGGAATGCCACTATCGATTATTTTCACTGTTGCTTGGTTTGCAGGCCAGATCGTTTTCTCTTCTAAATGTCCATCAAAACAGTCCGAAACCCAGAGACCCTCAGTTTACAGTCATATCAGACAGAAAAGGTGTTCAAACTTTCACCTCAATTTTTGTATTGTTTCAGTTTTTTGTCTTTTTTTTTTGTGCAATTCTTTAAGAATTAGATTTTTTTTAAAGCAACGGTTGGTAATTCTATAAAAAATTTGTTTATATATTTTTTAATTCTCTTTACATTCCGACAGCTGGCAATAAAGTTTCATCCTCTTTTTAGAAAATATTTAAAGTATAATTAAAATATCTTAACAATATACTGTATATTTACAGTGTAATACACAGTATAGGTTTAAGTACTCGCACATAGTTAACGTTCTTTTTTTTTTTTTTTTTTTCTATTGACTCATGACGGTCTGATACTGAAACTCTGTCAACTTTGATTTGATGTTACTTTCATTACACTAAACTCGTGACTTATGTGGTTTTGGGCACCAATATGTAAAAGATTGCTGACAGACATAAATAAAGATCTACTTCTCACTCTTCACGTTCACTTGACTCAAATCAACGAAAGTGTAGCGGGGCTGGGAGGCTCTGGCTGGTTTGAAGTTTTGGGAGGTTTTGTGCAGGCCAGCGTCAACTTGGGAGTCTTTGAACAAATATTACCTGCTATGACTTCACAGGTATTTATTCATTATTATTTATTTATCTATTTGTGGTTAACTCCCAGGAGAACACTTTGCCAGAGCTCATCTTTCATTATCATTGTAGACTTCTGTCCTCGGCTGATTAAATCAAAGTCAGTTTAAATTGTTTAATTAATACCTTTACAGTAATCGGGTCAAGTTAAGTTTATTTTTTGTTATGTTTCAGGTTGAAAACATTTCATATCTCCTTACCAAGTCGGGTGAAAGCAACCATGAAGCTGTCTGCTGCAGCAGCTGCTTGAACAAGGCGTGGGGAAACACTACCATCTACTGCCTGCGATTATAATCCCACAACAGGACCATGAATATTGTTGGCTTGTAATTAATCATTGATTGTATCAGTTATTGTGAGAGTTTCAGTCCTGCAGGCCTTCTTTTTTCAGAGGGATAATTACATATTAAAACAAAGAATGTTTGTTGGAATGTGAAACTCTTACAGTCAACTCATACCTTCATTGTGTAGTGTGACAAAGGGAAGTCCACCCTTCAGCGTGACTAATGCTTTCCAGTATTGTACTGGTAGGTGGTGAGATTATTCTGTCTCTCTGTAATAAAATAAACGCTCATGTCCCAGTTCATAGCGTGGAGGTGGAGAGAGATTTTGGAAACAAGAATATAAGTCTTGTTGCAGATTATCTACAATGTCTTATATTTCCTGCCAAAAAAAAAACCAGACCTCCAACCAACTCTCTTTGCTCGTAAGGTGTCTGCATGAAGTGGAAAGTAATTGTGACTCATGATTTCTCTCTGTAAATCCTCCCCACAAGACAGTCATTTTAGTCTGACCTTTTTATGTGGTGGTCTCTCTCTCTTTCTCTGCAGGAGCAAATCCACGTGCCCGTCTACCACCCAACGCCCAGCCAGGCCCGGCTGGCCACTCAGCTGACGGAGGAGGAGCAGATTCGCATCGCACAGCGAATCGGACTCATCCAGCACCTCCCGAAGGGCGTGTACGACCCAGGACGGGACGGCTCTGAGAAGAAGATCAGGGAGTGAGTAGCCATGCTGAGTGATCTGTGATCTGGGTGTAATCAGGGTGTTTGGGGGTCTTTTAAAATGATGGTCTAGATTCACTGTCTGAGATAAAGTATCTGAAATAGTTTTATTCAAATATTTTCTGTTTTGTTTTAGTAGTCAGAAAATGTAACCGACAAAACCGCTCATGAATTTTAACCCGTTAAGTTTGCTGTTGTCACAATAATGTCAATATTGGTGTGCACTGCTATAATAAAGATACATACTCAATATCTTTATAATATTGTGGCATTTTAGATAAATGCACATTTTATTGAACTTATTTCCTGCATTTCTCTGCTGTCCATGCAATCCCTAACTAAATGTCCCTGTGTTCACCTGCACAGGTGCGTCATCTGTATGATGGACTTTGTATACAGAGACCCCATCCGCTTCCTGCCCTGCATGCACATCTACCACATGGACTGTATAGACGACTGGCTGATGAGATCCTTCACCTGCCCCTCCTGCATGGAGCCTGTGGACGCCGCGCTGCTTTCCTCCTATGAGACCAACTGACACACGCACAAACACACACACCTGCACACAAACCCACTGTATATGCCCATAGGCACCTGTGAACCAGAATGGACACACACACACACACATGGACATACACACAACGTCCATCTTGTTAACTTGTATCCTGGATTAGTAAGGTGTTGATATATAACAGTGTAAACGATTTAGGATGAATGCTCGTGTGTGTGCGAGAATGCCTGTGTGTGTGTGTGTGTGTGTGTGTGTGTATATGTGTGCCGCACAAGTTCCTCCGTTGGCCTGCTGGACAGGATTGATTTAAGGAGGACTGGACAGAGTGTTGGTGTGTTGGACAAACCGGAAAGAGCTGGACCGAGCAGACCGATGACAGTGGGAGATGTGGGGGATACCAGTGTAAAGGGAAGTCAAGGGGACAGGATGATGTTTAACTGATATGATTAAAAAAAACCAAGATCTGCTTTTATATGCAGGAATTCAAACAACTGTGCCCATATACACACACACTTCCTTTATTTACTTCCCATCATTGATATGAACGACACAGAAGGACGGACAGCCGACCACCGTCATCAGGCCGCAGATTGAGCTCGTTGGACTCACGCTGCTGGACAAGAGGAGAGAAACGTCCCGTCTGATCGATGCGTGGACGTGTCTTCACACGGATGCCTGTTGCAGAGTCATATCTGCTGCAAAAAGATGCGGATGTGTGATTTTAAGGCTGCTAGAGCTGGACATCAGACTTGATACTGCAAACATCAGATATACTGTATATTCTGCAGACACACCACAGGCCTCCACTGGTCCACCGCGCCTGGGCCTGGAGTTGTCTGTCTGTATAGAGAAAAACCAGATTGGTCGATCGTCCTGTGGCTTTGTGAAATCTGTTACGTGTTTGTTTTATTCCGTCAGCATAAGGGCTTTGTCAGACCAGTGTTTACCAACAACACGGATAAGGGAAAAGGAAAAACAGTATGTGCTTTAGTCACTAATGTGGTGGATAGCTGGTAAGACTGTTGCTGTCAAGCTATCGGCTCCTCGAGACTTTCTCAATCACAGTGAGCGCTCAGATTATTGGCCAAAGCACAAGTAGACCACAAACCATTGATACCAATCAGTGACATTTGCACTTCTTAATCAGACTTGTGACAAGAGTTGACCATATGCATTCAGTAATTATGTCAAAGTGAGGTATGTGACTTGTTTTTACCTACAGTGCAATGATCTGTCATGAAAGCCACCCTCTGTGGACCGGGAGTGGAAACACACTTTATAACTGGTGACATTAACCAAACTACTGAATTCATTAATACCAAGTTTGGCGCCCCTGTTATTGTCCAAATCATGTAATTCTAGGGACAAATCAAGAACAGAATTAAAAAACGTAAAGAAGTTTGCATATGTTCCGCATCGCTTCATTCAGCATCCTGTTGCACCAGACCTAGAGCAAACAATCAGAGGGGAAGCGGTTAATGCTTGCACCATCAGGACACCGGTGATGGTGTGTGTGTCGGTGAACACACTTTAGAAAGGTTACATTTCATATCAAGTTGAGGCCTCAATCTAAATGACCCTCTCGCCTCATTTTAAAATGCTTATTGCCCAAATGACCCAGCTTACTGTTAAAGCACAAAGAAACACAATTGTTCAGTTATACTTTCCTTCTTCCTGCTAACTTTGGCACGCAGGTAAGTCGGCACAGATCACACACAGTTGGTAAACATGCCTGGGGGGGTTGTTCGGCAGTCAGCACCTTAGTTTTTGCACAGTACTTTAATCCACGTAAGTCTATGTTGTCCTCCATCAGTAAGGTGGAGCTTCATGGCCTTTAGTTAAACGTGAGTAAGGGATGGCAGCGGCTGCTAAAATGTGGAACAAGACACAATACTGTGTATGGATTGGCTTTCTGTTCCTTGACTTAGCTCTTTGTTCCCATTTCTTCCATCTGCAGTGTAGCAGACGACAGTTTGGAAGAAAAAAAAAAAAGCCTTTTTGAAGAGTATGCAATTTTCTTTTTAAATAGTAGAAATCTGGAACAAATGCATGTCATGCACTTTGGGGATAATCAAAACCATGTCATGATAGTATTTGCTATAGCTCCTGAAAATAATCAAGAGACATCTTTAAGAAAAAAAAGAATCCACATGATTTGTGTGAAGATGAGCACTCTCCCAAAGCCACGTGTACATGCATTATTGTGGAACTTTGTGGAGCTACTTCATTTCCGTATCTGTCATCCGCTGTCAACTGAAGCAGCTGCCCAAAATGTTTCTTAATCACGAGACACTTCGAGCTTTGCTTCCGACTTTGATTCTCGGGACAGATTTGTTTGAAAATGTCCACACTCGCAGGAATGATAAGTGAGTGCTGTTTTGGGGTGGATTTTCTGCTTGTAAGTACATTGAACATGGAGGTTTGCTCGTATGTGAGTGGGGTAAGTGTTGTATGTTTATGTATGGATGCTTGTTAGACCTTCCCTTGTTTGTAAGCATAAATATGCTTATGCTATGTACTACAAGCAAATAATAAATAGACATTACATCAGAACATAACTGCCACTGCTGGGTGTGTTATTTCCTCTGTGCACACTAGAAAGGGAAGCATGGGGTTTCCTTTTTTCATAATCTCCCATACTGACATGGCTTGATTAAACTTCTCGAGTCTAAAAATACCCACAAAGTATGCAATTTATCTCTCTTACTTTAGTAAATCCTCTCACAATATATATACTCTTCGTGTACAAATACAATTATTTACATAGGTTTGAAAAAAAAAAAAGTAATCCTCTTAAAGTGTCACTCCTCTCATCCATATTGCTCCCTTTTCATTACCATTGTGCTCAGAAGTGGACCATGCATAAGCACTGGATTTTTCAAAAATACCAGTTTATAAAATATACACCTGTATGTTTGAACAACAAAACCTATCAATCTGGTTTGATATATTTGGAGAATAAATTGAAAGTCACTTCTGTCTGAAATATCATTAGAAGGTCACAGGCAGAGCCCTTAAAACACACACACTGATACAAATGGGAACAAAGGGATTCATTTCTTCCTTTTATTGTATCATTATGCTTTAGGCAAATTTTCCCTTTGTACATTATTGTCAATAAACCCTCAGAGTCTCCCACCATGTCTGGTTTGAATTATGTTATAAATTACATCTTTCTTAAATGTGGTTTAAAATACTACTCTTGCTTGATCTACTTAATACAATTAAGTAGACTTTACATGCACATTTATTTTTTACATACAAAAATGTAAGTAGTTTGTACAAAGACCAGTCTTGCTTTATAATAATCTGATGCATAAAGTTGCCTTTATTCTTTTTTTGAGTAGCTCATATGATATTTTCACCAAAAAAATGTCGTCCTCATGATGTTAATTGGGGTTACCAGAATATCAGAGACCCCTCGCATCCTTACAATCATCAGTTGAATTAATCCTTCACTGACAGTGTCATAGCCTAACCATTATAAACGCAATGAAGACTTATTGTGACGGGGTGTGGTGGAGGACTCAAATGCAGACCAGACCAGATGTAGCGTGAAGCAGGTATTTAATGAAACATGAAATCAGAATAGGAAATGTACAGGAACACAACAGGGAATCCACGGACGAGACAAGAGACGAGGAGGGAAATCCAACAGGACGAGACGGGGAAACCGGGAGCAGTCACACACGGTCGCCAAACGGGTAGACATGACAATATGGCAGTGAGTGCGTGTGTGACTGGGGTTTAAATAGTGGATGCAGCAGAGTGAGCAGGTGAGAGTAATGAGCTGACGAGGTGTGACTGGCAGTTGCACTGAATAAACAGATTAGGTGAGTGAGAGATGGAAAAAACAGGATAATGGTGGCAGAGCTGTGACACTTAAAGGGGGGGTTATCTTCATCCTCCTCGTCCTTTAGTCTGTGTGAGAGAAAAAAGAAAAAAAAAGGGAGCTTATGTCACGAATGTATCCTGATGTAAACATAAACACTAGTGCAACAATAAATAAGAGCAATAAAATAGGCATAATATCAGAAATAAACGTCACAGTGCATATATTTTGCCATGGCACACAGATCCATGGAACTAAAAGAAAACAATAAAGCTGATATGATTTTGTTTATCAAAAGGCGTGACCAAAGGGGATTTGTAAAATGAAAGGAATTCACGGAGCCCCACCTCTATGTCACTACAATACAGACTATAAAGAGTCCTTTATGAGGGAGGCTACAGGTTTAGCTTCATTAACTCACGTCTTGTCTTGTCCTCACGCTGTCAAAACAATCCGAACTCTAGTCAAACAAAGGCCATGGTTTCATCCTTGCACCACTTTTTACTTTTTATCTGGTTGATTAATAAATTAGCCCGCTTATGTAGGCTATGTACATTTTAGCTGTTTTAAACCGGGTTTCAGCTCCTCAGGACACTTTTCAAAAGTCACTGCGCTGCGGAGGTTTCTAACCTGTGGCCTATAAGAAGAGTTTGAGATGGAGAAATATAAGCTAAAGCTCCTGTGAAATTATAATTTATCGTTGCTCATCGTTTTATTTTTCATTCAAGATCAAAATGATCCAATCACAACTTAAAATGTCGAGGAATTTTAGAGTAAAACTGATAATTGCTTCGCGGCCTCCGCAGTAACGGTCCACCCTGAAGGTAACGCTCACTTTATTAATGTGCGGTATGATAACGTTGTGCATTCATATTATGCTGCAGTGCATTAACACTGCTGATGTGTTTTTGTTTTTTTTAGCAGTTCGTTTAGTATGAGGCAGGCAGGCAGACAGATGCGCGTACACACACGCTCACGAGCCACACAGAGAGGGGGAAGGCTGTAGATAGAAGACTCCACACTAAAAGAAATATGATCTATTTTAATAGCCTATATATTATCCGTCTGTTTTAGAAATGGCGAGCACACAATGTGGACAGCCGATACAGACATTCCATAATGAGGGAGGCCTAAAGCTGATCCCCATGTGGCTGGAATATAATGAAATGGTTTTAGCTGACCTAACCGTACATGTGTTAGATTTAAACAGACCGGAACAATGTTTTCTCCCATTATTGTTTTGGAGAATTACAACTGGTTGTAGCTAAGTTGTATGGAACTATAGGCCATACGGATCTTTTCAAATCAAGTTGTCAATAATGTGGAGTACACAGATCTAGATATGAAAGATACGATATTTTTAAATCCTGATGGTTTAACGGTTGATTTAACACATATGCCTACAATTAAATAAAAGGCCAAATAAATGTATTCTCAAATGAATACAGTTTTAAAAAAACACTGTAATATCAATTATAACAAATAGGCCCGACAGGAAAATCCTGTCGCAGAGCCCGTACTGACATGTGAATGAAAGATAACCTTTCTGCACATAGGATCAGTAGGTATCTGTGCCAAAAGGATCTCACACACACACACACACACACACACACACACACACACACACACACAC